CCACCCCGGGCAAGTGCCATGCTGGCTGTGCAAGTCTTTTCTCATTAAATGGCGTTTTCAAGGCTGGCTGCTTTGCTAGCCTTATCACAGCAAACCGCACATGGGGAGCAGGGTGGGGCTTTGCAGAATCACACATCTTTTTAAGAAAGTGAACCTTTTCTGATCTGTGGCGGGGTGGGGGGCTTTTCCCCCTGTGTTGGGGGAGAGGGCCAGGCAATGATGCCAGGCAGTGGGTGATGGGCTTGATTGCATGGAGCAGAAATCACATGATTAAGAGCTACTGTTGTATGTTTTGCAGGAAAGGGCTGGGCAGGGAGGTGAAAAAAGGTCTGAGGATGTGCATGAATAGGCATGGGGGGAGGAGGGGCAGCTGCTCAGAACTCAGCCCAGCTGGGATCCCTCACGCCTCACCTCACTAGTCCTGCTCTCTCATGTGGAAGGCACTTCCCAAAATACTGACAGAGTGTCTTATATACCTCCACTCAGGTGTGCCCTCTGTATCAGGTGATGCACCTGTGTCTGCCTGTTGCAAGGACTCAGAAAGTGCTTCTCCTTGAGCTGGTCCAGGATCACCAGCCAGTCTGGCATGGTCCGGTCTCTGCCCACCGTGATGGCATCAGGCCTTCACCTGGACTACAGTGCTAACACAAAAGAAGCAGAGAGACCCCAGACCCTGTTCCAATGGACTCACAGGGAATGACTGACCTGCCCACTGGATCCTGGGGAGGCACTGCAGGCCTAGCAGACCCATGAGGTCATTGCCTCTGCTGAGCATAAATATCAGGGTGAATTATATGAAATTGACAGAGAGGTTAATATGTCAGGGAGGTTGAATGCCATTTAAAAAAGTTGAATATCAGCAGTTTCATGCAATTCAAGCTAAGACTTTAAATTCTGTGCTCTTTATACTATTTTCCAAAAGCACTTGACTGATCAGTGATTTTTAAGTAGAGAATAGGGTTTCAGATGGATTGTTGCAACGGGAGGTGAGGCTGATGGTGTTGGGCCCACTGGTTGTGATATGTCAGGTTGGGCAGGAGCAGCTGGGGTTGGTGTTTGAAGAAGGGCTGAGAGTATGCTGCTCCTTGTGCCCTGGAGTTCATGGTCAAGGAGGTTCACTGGAGCTTGCTCTGCATGGGCAGACCCTGTGGGAACTTCCTCTTTATCCCTTGTGTAATCTGAAACAGTAAATCCATTTGATTAATTATAAGAACTTGGATGAAGCCCACAGGCCACTTCCCCAGGAATGCATCAGACTTTATGGATTGGTACACCTTCTAGCAAACAACCCAGTTCAGCCATTCAACAGTGCTTATTGTGTCAGGAGTGTGCTAGGAGCTTGAAGATACAGTGGTGAGCAAAAGCACCTTGACGCTCCCTCGTGGGTGGTAGACCCTTGTGGAAGAGACAGATGAAAATGAAAGGACCAGCCGAAAGGTGGAAGCAATCCAAGTGTCCATTGATGGATGAGTGGATAAACTAAATGTGGTATTTACCTACAATGGAATCTTATTCAGCTTCAAAGAGGAAGGAAATTCTGACACATACTGCAATATGGACGAACCTTGAGGACATTATGCTAAGGGAAATAAGCCAAATACTGTAGGTATGTCGAATACAATACTCTATGATTCTACTTATATGAGGCACCTAGACTAGTAACTCTGAAGACAGAAAGTAGAACAGTGGTCCCGGGGGCTAGGGGGAGAGGTGAATGGGGAGCTGTTTAATGGGTACAAGTTTAAGTTTTATAAGGTAAAAAGACTTCTGGAGATTGGCTACCCAACAATGTGAGTGTACTTAACGCTACTGAACTATATACTTAGAAATGGTTAAGATGGTAAATTTTATGTTGTATATATTTTAACACAATTAAACATTTTTTAATTAAACAAGAAAAAAAAAAGGAAGAAACATGTACACTCATGAGCTTGCACCATGGCCCCAGCTCCACAGGAAAAGTACAGAGGCTGTGAGGTGAGGGCTCACTGAGTGTCAGTGATATGCTTGGCTCTGTGGTGTCCCCAAAAACTGCTTGGTAGTGTTTTTTGGTCTTTCCCAATAAAAGCCACACAACAATGAAGCCACATCTCTTAGTTACCCTCAGGATTGTCCCATCCACTCCCCTTCAAACAGGGCCTTGGCTGGCCAGGCATGAGGGCAGTGTGCCCTCCACCAGAGACAACGTGCCTCAGGGGCAGCAGCAAGATCCCCATCCTCCATCCCGCAGCACCTTGGGACCTGACAAAGGCTCCCCAAGCCCACCCCTCCAAGGGCACTGCTCCTAAGCGGGGCCCCAGACCAGACCCCACATCCCACCAAGAAGTGCAGTGTGGGGTCCCTGCCCGGAAGACACTTAACACTCCACTAGAGATTTGACTTTTCTTCCTGGAGAAGAAAACACACATCATCATCTAAATGTACACACATCCCTTGACCTGGCAGTTCCAATCTCTGGAATGTCTCTTAAGACAATAACTGACACCTGTCTGATGATATGCGTGCAAAGTGATGGTTGCAGCACCGCTCATAGAGTGAAAAATTGGAAGCAATTTAAGTGTCCTTCAGTGGAGGGCTGCTTTAATTAAGTTTAATAAATCCAAACTATAGAGCCATTAAAACATAATGATGGAGACTATTACTTATTGACACAGAACAGCTGCTATGATATATAGTTAAATGGGGTCAGAAACAGGTTGCATCTATATGATCCTGTTCTTCTAAAATAACAAAAATTTGTGTATATGCCCAGAAAAGGGTATAAAGAATTCACAGCATGGTGTTAAACAGGGCTCCCCCTATATGTGGTAATATTACAAGTAACCCAAAGTTTCTTCACTTTACTTTTTTGTTAGTGTCCTAATATTTTATGCTATGTATGTGTGTATTTCTCTTCTCAGGAAAAAAAAAAAAGACAAAACATAGTAGGAGTTGGGGCAGTGCAGTTCAGGTCCTAAGCCCACCAGGCGCCACCATTCACACATGGCTCTCTAGGGATTGCTTCATTTGGTCCCCTGGAGTCCCAGCCCATGCTGGGGGCAGGGGCGAGAGGTCAGCATGCTCAGGGGAGGGCAGGCAAAGCCAACACTGATGGATGCACAGACCTTCACTTAGCAGACGGAGGCCGAATGAGCCCTTTGCCAGCATCCCCCGCCACCCCCGTGGCCTCTGGGCTTGGGTGCCTGTTCTCAGGAGCCACACAGAAGCTCTGCAGGGACAGAGTGGCCTTTGGTGGCAGCTGCTTGTATTAGTTTTCTCTCTCTGTATGGCACTTCCATCCTCTCTAGGTGTCCAGTCTGCAGGACATAGTGTCCATGATGATGACTCATTGAAGATTTTTTCATTACCTAACCACAATTTAGTGAGCCTCGACTTTGCATCTGTAAACTGTTGGGAGGAGGCTCTGCAGCCTCCAGTGTGGAGTAGAGGCCAGGAGAGTGGTGGGCTGGCCTTGGGCAAGTTGCTCAACTTGTTGGAGCCTTTGTATTCCCATCTGGAAAGTGGGGTAATAATAAAGCTTCCTCAAAGAACTATTATCACCAGATGCCTCAGGGAATGGGGGAAGAGACTTTTTAATTGTGCAGTTTGTGAATTTTAGATCGTGTGCATGCGTTACCAATTCAAATAAATAATTATGTATTGTAGGAGGGCTGTGAGAGGATCAGAAAGGGTTTTTCAAAGGGGGCCTCATGAAGCATTCTTTCCACCAGATGGGTTCTGTGTTATTCAAGAGCTACACAAAGCTGGCCCTTCCACGCAGGGTAACTGGGAGGGAGAGATGAGTGATTCATGCCAGGGACAGGTTTTGGACCCTGTGGTCCTGTGGCTGGCACTATGGAGCATAAAGAGGCAACTGCTGTCTACTTGGAGAAATAAATGCACATCACTCAACAAGTGAAGAGTCACTACTGTATAGCGAAATGCTGGGTTTATGCAGACCCATGACTAGCGTTGAGTTTCTCCAGGAAAACCTGCTGAGTTGGTTCCAAGTAGAAAGCACTGTATGTTCCTTCATCTTGTTGGAGAACCCTGTGCACAGTGGCATATAAGGCTCCAAGAAGTCCTGCAATAACAGAGCTTGGTTTAACCTAGTGCTTCCCAGTGTACATAATCAGGAACATTTTTTTTTTTTTTGCATAACTCCCGTTAATATCCCACAGAACTAATATGGTGCAGAGGAAGTTTGGGCAGTGGGAAACAGTGTCCTAGAGAGAATCAGGGCAGACTCTGTGGCCTTCTGATCTTAAATTCTCCCTTCTGAGTAAGGGACTTTGTCTACTGGTTATAAAGCTGTCTGCATTTGTCAGCCGAGAGGAGGAGGGAGACACTGGCAATCATGAGCATCCCGGCTGTCGCGTGGCTGTCTGTGGCCAGCACTGGGCCTACGTTCATTTGTGAGTCTGATCCTCATGGCGGTCCTGTGAGATGGGTCCTATTCCTACATCCGCCTACTGGTGATGAAACTGAGGGTCAGAATGTGTCCCAACTCACAGCTGCTAGATGACAGATCCAGGATTCAAACCCAGCAGGTCTGCTCTGAACTTCCAAGGCTTCCTCTTCCTTTAAAAGGTCACATCATTCCTTCACACCTTCCCACTCTTCTTATTACATAGCCCAAATGTATTTCCTTCATCAGAAAAGAGATTAGGGAGCACTGGATGTTGTTTAAAGTAGGCGTCGAGTTCAGAGGCCTTACTTATCTCAGCTGCTGCTCTGAATTCCACTCTGTGGTTCTCTCTGAGATTCAGGCCCTCTCTCTGCCTACTGCAGATTGTCTCATCTCGAAGACCGATCCAGATAGCTTCCAGTACCATGCATGGCCTGTCTCGCCTCTTCCAGCCACTTGTCACTCTGCCCAAGTCTCCAGGGGAAGTAGCATCTATTGAGCACTTTGCAACTTTGCCCTAGGAGGAGAGGGTGGGGGCCCAGGTGGGAGCTTGGTACAGAGAAGGCTGCTTTGTGTCTCGTGCTCTAAGCAGGTGTCTTCCCCCACCCCTCAGGTCTGGAAGAGATCGGGGGCCTGGTTTTACAAAGGGCTCCCCAAGTACATCCTCCCCCTAAAGACCCCCGGCCGGACTGATGATCCCCACTTACGACCTTTGCCTGTGGAGCCAGCTGAGCAAGAGCCCAGGAGCACTGAGACCAGTCGAGTCTACACATGGGCCCGAGGGAGAGGTAAGTCCCCTTTGCCCCTCTCCTGGGACAGCAGTTAACATTTGGGCCCTCAGCCAGCCAAGCAGTGCCACAGGCACCAAGCCAGTGCCTGCCACACTCTCCGTGTTTCATACTGGTGTTTCATCCCTCTCTGTGCCATTGGCTCCCCATGTGCACCCACATGGGTGGCTGGACCTCGGCACAGTGATTACTGGCAGCAAGAGGGGACCATTCATAAACAAGCACTAATTTGGGGGCGGGGATGCACTATGGATTTTTGAAGAAATGTGGTATCAGTTGAAGTTTTTTGCAAAGTCTAAAATTGCACTTTTCCAAGGCAGGCCTGTACCATCTCTTCTCAGTACATGTCTTGTGTCTTCCCTGGTCCTGTGAACAAAGTAACTTTGCACCCAGGGCCTCTTGGTATTTGTGGTGGTTGCATGAATGTAGATGCTTCCCAAGTGGTTACCGTCAGAAGGGGAGCTCTGCCACAATGGTAATAATAATAGTATCTGATATGGCAGCTGGCTCTCCAAAGCTTGCATGATGCTTTAGTGCTTGTGATTTTACTTTCAAAGCTTCTGGTCTCACGAGAGCCTCTGAAAGTGGACAGGGCAGGTGTTTAGTAGCCCCATTGTACAGATGAGTAGCCTGAGGCCCAGAGAAAAAGAGGGTGTGTGGCAGAGCAGGGTGCTGCCCTCTGGGCTCTGCTCCTTCTGCCCTAATATGTCTGAGTTTCAGCCCCTGTCTCAGGTCTGAGGGTCCTAAATGAGACAAGGCAGCCAGAGCGATGGGCTCATCCCGATACTAGGGTGATAGACCCAAAATAATAGATGTGCAGCTGCTCTGAGGGGCTCTGGAGCGTCTCCATCTTTGGATTATGACATAGCATCTGACTATCTTTGTATCATTTGGGCTTTTTTTTTTTTTTTTTTGTTACAAAAATAAGGCGTGTTTATTATAAAATTATGAAGGTTGTCAAGTGATATAATTTAGAAGTTAAAAATTCCCTGTAGGTCAGCCCTTCCAGACATAAGCTGGTATTAACAGCTGGGCATCTGTTCTCCAGATCTTTTCCTAGGCATCACTTGACTCTGTCTGCAGCAGGCCTTCCTTGCTAATTCTGCTGGACTCTGTTTGCATTCTAATCTTCTGAGTTTGACTACCCTGCCATCAATGCCACAAACAAGCCCTTGCATGGATCATGGACAAGTGCAGGTGAAGACTGGGCAGGCAGAGTCAGGGGAGCAGGCCCCCCTGGAGTGCTGTGGCTACCCCACAAAGGGAGCCTGGGGGAATTTGCTGGGGAAGTGGCTCCTTCTTCCCTTCCGTCCCATTTCCACCCTCAAAGCTGGGGCTTTCTCCCGTCCCAGCCCTGTCAGGGTGCATCTATGTCCCCTCAGATCAAGGGAAGAGATGCAACCATGGAAACAGAAGCTGGTAGACAGTTGGGTTTAGAATGTTGCTTCGAGTGAGCAGAGGAGGAGAGGCCATGAGGCCCCACGCCGAGGGGCCCTCACTGCCCTGTCTGCTCCAGTATCAGCATGGTGCGCACGCACTCATATTCATGTACGCACGTGTGCAGACACTCGCCCCTGGGGAAGGGCAGAACCTCCGTCTCTTCCTCAGCCACACAGATGACTTTTTAATTATGTGGGTGAGGAGGCCAGTGGCCCACACACTTGCAGGCAGCACCGTTTATTAACCAAGTTTGCACCAAGGCCAGGCCAGGCTATGTGGAGGCCCCCTCGTGTGAACTTGGTCTCCCTCTGCGGATTGGGTTAGGAGCCCCCCAGGCTCCCAGAGCAGAAGGCAGTGCTTCCTCCATGTCAGGTCCCATGCCAGGCACATCACAGCCCTGTGATAATCCACAATTTAGTTCCAAGCAGGAGAAGGTGACCCAGACAGGTGGCCTATGTGTCTCGCCCAGGGGCAGCAGGATGGTGAGGGCCAATGGCCCTGGGCAGGTCGTGGAGGCCCAGAAGGTGCCTGCACCCACCCAGAGAGGGGTGTGCCAGGAATGTGTGACGTGCATGTGGTAGGCAGGACTGACCTTGGGGAAACCCACAATTAGGGGGAGAGGGAGGAATAGGAGTTGGCAGGTGGCAAAGGAGGCACTGCGGGAGTAGCAGAGGGAAGTAGAGAGATCCCATGCCATGTAACCAAAGCGCCAGGGCTTTGCAAAAAGGGGTACTGGAAAGCCACCAACGAGCCACCTGTTCCTGACCCAAATCTGGCTGTGCACTCACAGAGACACTTGGTAGCAACCAGATACTAGTGGAAGACCAGAGGCCCGGGCCAGCTGGAATCATCCTTACAGCTGGTCCTGAGCTTGGGGCCAAGCAGGGAGCCCTCCAGGAGGTCAGCCCCATGCTAGCCCTTGTGTGGTTTCCTGGTGGTCCACATGGCCTCAAGTCTGTGGCAGCCCCTGGGAGGGCTCAGCCATGCCTGCCTCTGGGAAGCCCCCCAAGCTGCCAGGGTCCTCTGCCTCAGTCCAGATTCCTTCTCAGGCTGGTCTTGAGGCTGTCAGGCTCCTGGCAGCAGACGGCCTCAGCAGGCAGCCTTGGGAGTCTGGCACAGGCCGTCACTGGGCCTTTCCAGTCCACTGCTGACTGGGGAACTAGTCGGTATTTTCCCAGCTTTGAGAGTGGCTTCTCCTCTTTACTCCCAGCCCTACCATCAGCGGTGCCCAGGAGTGAGGCAGCTGACTGGGTCAGAGCTGAAGTATGTGGTTCAGGTCAGTGCCTATCTAGTAAACCGACCTTCACAGCACCCCTTTTAGCCGAAACTGAGCTTCAGGCCAGGTGGAAACAGTGACCCACCCGCATTGGGGTGTGGGCTCACCACCACACTGGAAGCTGCATCCTGTGTCTGCCCTGAACAGGCCAATATCTCAGCACATGGCATAGGAGAGGCATGGAATAGATGGTTATTAGATGGATAAATGAACCACTCACTTGCTCCATGATATTTGAAAGGCCTATGGAAGGGTTTCATTAGGACTTCCAAGCTCCCCTAGGACAGGTCTGTTGGACAGCCTCAGGGCCATCATCCCCATGCCCCTGCTTCCAGACACCCCAGGGCCATCATCCGCCTCCTGCCCAGCAGTCCCTGCTCCCTAGCATGGGAGCCAATGCTGACACCAGCACACTGTCTCTGGCCCTCTTCATCACCCCTGGTTTTCTCTCTCTCTCTCCCCGTCTTTCCTTCTCTCTCTCCTTGCCTGAGAGAGAGAGGAGACCTGGGGCCCAACTTCTCCCCGCATTCCAACCTACCCTACTTTCTCCTGCCCTGTTGTGAGACGAAGGGTAATCAATAGATACAAGCTGTGAACTTTTCAGTCCACAGCGACGTCAAATGAAATGTATTGATGTTTCTGAGGCAGTTTCCTTTTCATCCATCTTTAAATTTTAAATTTTCTTTGTTAATTTTTAATTATATAAGAATACGTAATCTATTTAACAAGTAAATTCAAAGTATATGAAAAATTAAAATCTCTTCCCTTGCCTTCATCTCCAAACCCCTTTCTCCTTGTTCCTACAAACATATACTTAATATCGGGTTATTTTTTTGTTCGTTTTGATTTTTGCTTTTGTTTTAACAACAAAAATAGGCTCTTACTTATAACTCTGCATGTTGCATATCTATATAATAGCTATAAAGTTTACTTTATTCTTTTTAATGGCTGAATAAAATCCCATCATATCATGTATTGTTATTTAATTATTCACCTATTGATGGACATTCAAATCGTTTCTGACTTTTTGTCACTGCAAGCAGTAATAAAACATCCTTATATGTATATGATGCTTTTATTTCCATGGGGTAGGTTTCCAAAAATGGGGTTGTGTGGCAAAGGAGGCACTGGTCAATTTCAAAAGACACTGCCAAACTATATTCCCAAAACATAGTCTTTTATACTCATTTACTTTTGCTTCCTCGCTTGCCATGAATATTATTGGCATTTACGATTTTGGCAAAAATAATATTTCATTATTTTAATTTGCACATTTGAGTATCTTCATATCTTTATTATTTTCAGTTATTAAGGTTTCCTTTTTTAAAAATGGCCTATTTAAATCTATTGCTTATTTTTTATTAAATTATTTTCTCTTATTGATTTGTAGATACTCCTTATATGTTAGAGTAAATGGATTGCAGATATTTTTCTCCTTGACTTTACATTTTGTTTGACTTTAGTCTTTACTTATAGCATTTTGCCATTCAAAATCTATTTTGCCATTCGAAAACAATTTTTTTCTTAATTTTTGTGAAGTCAAGTGTGTCTTTCTTTTGCCTTGTGATTTCTAGGTTTCCTGTCTTGTTTTGAAATGTCTTCCTCTCCAAGGTTAAAAAAATCTGCTAACTATGGCCATGCCACTCTGAACAAGCCTGATCCCATCTGATCTCGGAAGCTAAGGAGGGTCAGGCCTGGTTAGTACTTGGATGGGAGACCACCAAGTACTAGGAAGACCAGGTGCTGTAGGCATTTAAAAAAGAAAAAATCTGCTAAATAAAAAGTTTAAGTAATATAAGAATAAAAGGAAATTACTTACATATGATAAAATTACCAAAAAAGAGAAAAATCTAACACCAAATATCATATTAACTGATAAAGCACTGAAGCAGTGTTCCATCAAAATGCAAGTCAAGAATACCCCCATCATCACCATCACTCAATAGTATTTTGTAGTATTTAACTAACGTAATAAGGCAAGAAAATAAAATAATCTGTTACTACTGGCAAAGAGAAGAAATTCTCTTATTTGCAGATGATATGATTGTATGCCAAGAAAACCCAAGAGCGTGTACTAAAACAACCCACTAAGAATAATAAGAGAATTTGGGAAGTGATAGGATACAATGTAAATCAATAGTTTATACACCAAAAAACAATAATTTTACTCTATACCAACAAACTAGAAATAGAAATGGAAAAAATCCATTTATAATTGCAACAAAAATTATAAAATGCCTACAAACAAGTTTTAAAAGAGAATTATAGGTCCAACATGAAGAAA